AGAAATTTCCTTCTATTTCTTTTTCTGTCTGCAAATGCGTCTCGCTTCCCTCTTCAACTTTTGATATCTATCCCATCCCGCACGTTTTGTGGTCGATCGTAACGTTGCGAAGTAGGCAGCCTGTTTTCTCTCCGCTGCGACACGGGACTCCTCTTCGTACCAGCTGTTCTTGTGCACTTTCCGAAAGTCAATGGTTTCGGTTGTAGGTGTACGTAAGGAGTTTAACTTCATTTYGGTATTTTACGGTTGTATGAACAAAAATAGATAGAAATATATTGCAGGTTTTCCAATTACGCATTATTATTTGTTATACCCTGAACAGGGTATATTAAGTTTGTCACAAAGTTTGTAACACCCAGAAGGTCGGAGACCCTATAAAGTATTTAAATAAGTGATCAGTATGTTGAGCTGAGTCGATTTAGCCATGTCCGTCTGTCTGTATATATACGAACTAGTCCCTCAGTGTTTAAGATATCGCTTTGAAATTTTGTAAACGTCATTTTCTCTTCAAGAAGGTGCTCATTTGTTGGAACTGTCGATATCGAAACATATAACTGCCATACAAACTGAATGATCGAAATCAAGTTCTTGTATGGAAAACTTTCACATTTGACACAAACAATCTTCACAAAAGTTCACACGGGTTATTTTCTAAGGCAACAATGTAATCTCTGAAGAAATTGTTCAGATCGGAATCAAGGACTTTTGTATTTGACGTGGTATCTTCACGAAATTTGGTATGAGTATGGAAAACCTTCGCATTTGCCGTGGTATTTTAACGAAATTTGGTATGGATTAGTGCTTAAGGTAATAATATCATCTCCGAAAAAAATGTTCAGATCGGACTGCTATAGCTTTACCTTCCATACAGACTGAACACATAGTTACTAAAAGAATTGCACCTGTGAAGGGTATATTAGCTTCGGTGCAGCCGAAGTTAACGGTTTTTCTTTTTCTTTTCTACCTTACTATGGAGGAAAATTTTAAGCACTGTTAGGAAAAAATTATTTAAATTACACTCGTATCCAAAACTAATTTTAATTAAATAAGATGCACAAAGCCACATGGTTGTTCTTATTATGTTCACACCACTGTATATGGTATGGAATAGTTAATAGTGGTGACACCAATTATAAAAATTTACTTTCACAATTGGGAAATCTTTTCTTAAGTTGTGGGCTTTCATACGTTCATAGTTCAATTTTATATATCTACATATAAAGAAAAAAAAGATACTTGTAAACATAATGAATATTTTAAAATTATGTTTCAAAATATATGATTGGCGAAATTTTCCCGTTTTTTCTTTCTTTTGTTTTTTTTTTTCTTGTTTTACCAAAGTATTAAAAGAAGTGTGAGTTTATTTGCTATTAGTGTTTTGTTAAATTTTAAAGATATAAGTTATGATGTAAAATAATATTACACATTTTATAATGGGAACACATATTTTAAAAAAATTAAAATTTTGTATTCATCAAGTAAAACTATACATATGTACACGGTATGACATTATTAATTGAAAGTGTCTAAGCACATAAATAGAATACAAATGCTAATGGGTGTATGCTGAGCCCTCATTTGTGCATATATTTTCGAAGAAACAGTGTTCATAAACTGAAGTTATTGTAATTTAAATCTGCAGAAAATATTATCAGCGAGTGAAAACAGTGTCCAAAATTTAAGATGTTAAATGAGAAATGTAATGCTAGTTTCAATGCTTAGAAATGTACGCTTACAGATTTGCATTTCTATAATACSCAAACGATTATTTACATATGTATATAATTTATAGATATTCTCAATATATTGTATATCAAATCATATAAGTTTATATGTATGTGCAATTTGACTTATATTTTAATGAGTTCTATAAATTATATAAATTTTAATTTATATACAAAGGTTTGGTAAGTTATATATTTACATAATTATTTGCTTTGGGCGTTAGAAGTTTTGATAACATCTCAAAAGATAAAGCCGTCGCACTGATTCACATAAGTATGCATGTAATTATGTGTAYATGTAAAAAGATTAAAAAAAAACCATTCGCATAATGTTCACACATATCGATGTAATTTTGTGTGCACATAAACAAATTTTAAAGAATCATTCGTATAATGTTTATAAATTTGACACAATTTTGTATGTAAATACATATCTACATATGAATACCCATTGTTTCATACAAAAGCTCCGTTGTCACGGACAACCAATGGCCGAACTTCACGTTTTGTCAAAACGTCAATGTGTCGAAGGAATGACGCGACGACAAAGCGTCACAGTATTGTGTTGTTGGTAGAAAATCCGAGCTGTGCCGAAAAAAGCAAACGAATGTCAACGTTTCCTTTGCCGCTGTCCCAGCTTCGCCCACAAACCAGCGTAAATATGTATATTCAAGTGTGAGCTTGCATACATATCAACATAGATTTTTGCAAGATGTGTAAARCATTTTTTACATTCCTCGCAGTCAATCCCGGTTATGTGCCAAAATCAAAGGTACAAATAAAAATATCATATGGCACATAAGCGAGTGCGGATACTTAGCGAGTGGTACTTAAAACAATAATTGCTATGTTTATCAAAAAACCAACCGTGAGATGCAGCAAGACATAGGCAGTTAAAAGGGATGATTTTCATTTAAGCGAAGGACTACTTAACTGGAATTGACTGTATATAAAAATCAAGAATATTGAATATTTTCTTTGATAAATTTCTTAACTTGAATATCGACAAATAATCTATGTTGTTAATTTTATTATAATATTTTTTAATACTTATATTTGCGAGGTTGTCACTTTTTCCTTCTCATACATTTTCAGAAATATATTAAATTTATGATTTTTAGCTTGTGCCTTCGTCGCGAAAAACCGTTTGTAGGCAAAGGCATGCTCGGGGAGAGGTTGAATTTGCTTTTTGAAAGTACGTTGCGTTCATGAATAAAAATTTTGTTGTTGTGTAACTTACTATAAATTTTGACGTCGGCAATATTGATTTCTGATGGTATTTGAGACGATGGTTGTTTTTGTAGAACAATATTTGTAATTTTTGACACATATGTATGATGATGTTTTAGACGATTATTGTTTTTGCAGAAGATGTTTGTCGACATATTTACATGTGAAGGCACATATATTAGTTGTGTGAGAATGACACACGCACATATGTTTTTTTTTTTGTTGCTACGTGCTAAAGCACCCCCTTGCCCACAGAACTGCCTATAGGGCAGGTACTGTTTAAGTGTATAGCATCTCTTTATATACAACTTCTTATTTCGTCATACGATTGCAGCTTCTCGGGACTGCACTCTCGGTCTTACCGCGATTTCCTCTTCACTCAGCCTTTGCATAAYATACGCTATTATCCCACATACCATATCCCATGCTAGGTGGGATGTTAGCATAAAATTTACTACATCCCTTGAGCGTATGGCTTTCCTACTTTATCGGAAAGTATTTGCCTTTCCTTTTGGAAGCGGACACATTCCACCAGTAAGTGATCTGCCGTTTTAAAGTCATTTTTACAATGCATGCAGAAGGGAGATTCCAAATGCTCATATTTGTACAAATAGCTTCAGAAGCAGCCGTGGCCAGATAGAAATTGCGTGAGGTAGTAGTTCACCTCCCCATGATCCCGCGTAACCCATTCTCTAATATTTGGAATCAGAGAGTGGGTCCACCTTCCTTTCGTTGAGGTATCCCATCTCTCCTGCCATTTTCGGAGGCATTTTTCGTTGATTTTTCCATTTCTTGCTTATATTGGCCAAGTGACATGCTAGGAGTCATGTCTCGGACTAATGAGCAACGCTCTGCTACTATGTCTATGGGGAGTCTTCTAGATATAACATGGATTGCTTCATCCGACACTGTCCTGAAAGCACAGCAAGTTCTCAATGATGCCAGTCTGTGAACCGAAGCAACTCCTCTCATATATGAGCCATGTTTAATAGCAGATATCCAAATTGGCGCCGCGTAAAGAATGATGGAGCTACTGACATTTGTCAGCAGCTTTCTGACTAGTTGTCTGGGCCTCGCATATTGGGCATTATTCTTGCTATTGCCGACACGGACCTCTCCGCTTTGGCATCTGGCATCACAACTCTCAGAAACCCATTGTACATCATATTCCAGAGTACCGGGCCGAGAACTAGTCCTTGCGGAACACCGCCTTTAACTTTATATGTTTCAGGTCCACAATCTGTTGTCAAAGTAGCTGGCCATAATTCGGATAAGGTAGTCCGGAACCTTTAGCTCTGTGAGGGCTCTAATGATTAGAGTTCAGTTCGCTGAATTGAAAGCATTTTTGATATCCAGGGTAATGACAGCACAGTATTTTTTGTCACCCCAGTGCCATCTACGCCCTTCCAATGCTTTTCCTGCAATTTTGGTAACCGCCAATCGAATGCTTTTCCTGCAATTTTCGTAACCGCATTTATCGCATCTACTGTGCTTCGTCCTTTCCTGAAACCGAATTGCATTGGATTCAACCCAGCGTCTCCTTCCGTATATTTCTCGAGACGCTTGCAGATAATTGTCTCGAAAACTGTTCCCACCGTATCAATAATGCTGATATGACGAGGGTTCTTCTGGAGGTTTATCACCTTTGGGGAGAAGAACGAGGCGTTGACGCTTCGAACATTTGGGGAAGTTCCCTTCCTTCAAGCAGCTCGTGTGTGCGTTTTGGAACAATGTTGGCTTTCTATGAATGATATGCTTAGTAACGAAATTGGGTATTCCGTCCAGGCCGGGTGCTTTGCCTATCTTAATTCTTTTCACCGCATGTTGTATTTCTTCCCGGGAGACTTCAGCGATTTTGTCC